CCCAAAGACGCTTTGTTAGTGAAAAAGCACCAACCAATGAGAACCCGTCAGCTGCAGCTGTGACGTTACACGCTGCCTCTTTAGACTCTGCTCAACAATAAGCAGAGTTGTTTATCACATGCATACATACGGCTGACAAAGGTCCTTCAGCCTCGGCCTGCGAGCAGCAGCTGTTGTTGTGGCTTTAAAATTCAAACATGGCTTCTTGATTTTAAAACTGTCGTATTTCTCTACATGACAGTGGGCGAGCACGTTCACCTGCATCAGCATTTATTATTGATCATCAGTCACAGTCTGATAAAACTGTCTCCCAATCAAATACTATAATAAGTAGCTAAACTGAACCCTCGATATAATCAATAATCAATAATCAAAGGTGTTGGTGTGCACCTGATAGTTCTGCAGCAGTATAAGGCTGAGGTAGAACTCTGAGAAGGCCAGCTGCAGGTCCTTTATGTTCCTGTGCTTGCATCGTTCCTGCTGTGACAAGGCAAACACCGTCTTCCTCCTCCTCAGGCCCCGCCCACTGGCTGAGCTCTCCCTCTGTGCATCCAGCGAGGACTGCAGCTCGTTCTGCAGCGTGGCGAATCGCCGCTGAGCCTCGGCCAGCTTCTCTGGAAGGAGAGAGCGAGACACGGTAAAGACAGGACAATAAGAAGTCTTGGTGAGCCCTGAAACCAGTGCTACCAGCTGTATTACCAGAATAGAAGGTGTTGATTTTGGCCAACTCCTTTTCACACATCTGGAAGAACTTCTCCTCAAATTTGGCATAGTAGCGCTTGACAGTGTCTTCATCTGTGACTGCAACAAGAGAGAAGCTGTCAGAAGAGCATCTCACAGCAGGAAACAAACCTGTGCGCACAAAGTTAAAAGAAACAAAGTGCAGAAATAAAAACGGGCAAGTGGGTGACTGTGCTGCTGTGCTCCGACCAGCAGGGGGAGCAGTGAGCAGCCCCTGTGCTGTGTGGAGAGTCAGGATGGAATATGAACTCCACTCACTCCAGACTTTAAGCATAAACATGGAAACAGCAGCTTTCAGAAACACTGAGAGGACAGGAAGAGAAACTCAGACTGTGAACAGATCAGCGGTGACACAGCAGACGTCCTTCTGAATCACAGGTGTCCAACTCCAGGCCTGGAGGGCCGGTGTCCTGCTGATGTGTCCTTGATCCAACACAGCTGATTTAAATGGATAAATGACCTCAACATGTCCTGAAGTTCTCCAGAGGCCTGGTAACGAAC